AGATGGTGTGATCTCCATGTGATGAACTGGAGGGAGATGGTGTGATCTCCATGTGATGAACTGGAGGGAGATGGTGTGATCTCCATGTGATGTACTAGAGGGAGATGGTGCGATCTCCATGTGATGAACTGGAGGGAGATGGTGCGATCTACATGTGATGGACTGGAGGGAGATGATGTGATCTCCATGTGATGGAGTGGAGGGAGATGGTGTGATCTACATGTGATGGACTTGAGGGAGATGGTGTGATCTACATGTGATGGACTGGATGAAGATGTTGTGATCTCCAAGTGGCGCAAGCGACGCGGCTCTGCAAAACGCACAAAACAGCCGGGTCAGGCCTGAAGCTAAATGAAATAAATAAGGACGAGTAAATAATATACAATTGGCCGTTCCCATGGCAACAAATTAAAATGTGAGCGGATATGGCGCATTAATTATCGCGCATCACCCGCAGCTGTCGGAAGGCGGAGGGGATGGTTTCTGTGCGCACACACGCGCACGCACGCGCACGCACGCACGCGCACGCACGCGCGCGCACATAAACGCGCGTGCGTGCGCGCGTGCCACCGCTACAGATGCTGCTGCTGCTGTTTGTGGTGTTGATGCACACGCGGTTCCGCACAGATGGATTCATCAGCCCTCGCTCGAGCAGCGTGAGTTGTCGTCGCAGATGGGGGCGGGGGACAGGTGGGGGGGGGAGTGACTTTTATAACAACTTTTACTGCCGCCAGCAGCAACAGCACTGGAGGCGATTCCGATACGAAACACACAAAGTCACCAGCAAACAAGTAAACGCTACAAATCCACGCGCTGTGGCGCTAAATGCAGCGCGCACAACACGAAAGAAAAGCCACGTGGTGGTGGTGGTGGTCATCGCGCACGCTACGGTGATGAGCGAGCGCTTCAGAAGGTGAACACGAGGGTGCCGTCCACGCTGGTACAGAGATGGGCTTGCCCGGCTCCCCAGCGTTCGAAGAAGACGCGCTGCACATCGCCGAGACACCGCGGGAGAGAGACGAGAGCACATCGGCCCGGCTCAGAGTCTTCACCCCTCATCGCCAAACACATCCACGTGATCCATCGTGACTCGATCCCTCCACAGGTTACCGATGAAATCCCAGATCAACTTCAAGATGACACGCTTAATCTCACTCCACTCCCTTTCACGCACTCTCCTGCCTCTACACTCTCATCTCACTCTAATCCACTCCACGCACTCTCCTGCCTCTCCCCACTCATCTCACTCCACTCCCCTCCACACGCTCTCCCACCACTCCCCTCTCATCTCGCTCCACTCCCCTCCACGCACTCTCCTACCTCTCCCTCTCATCTCACTCCACTCCCCTCCACGCACTTTCCTACCTCTCCCCTCTCATCTCACTCCACTCCCCTCCACACGCTCTCCCACCACTCCCCTCTCATCTCGCTCCACTCCCCTCCACGCACTCTCCTACCTCTCCCCTCTCATCTCACTCCACTCCCCTCCACACGCTCTCCCACCACTCCCCTCTCATCTCGCTCCACTCCCCTCCACGCACTCTCCTACCTCTCCCCTCTCATCTCACTCCACTCCCCTCCACGCACTCTCCTACCACTCCCCTCTCATCTCACTCTACTCCCCTCCACACACTCTCCTACCTCTCCCTCTCATCTCACTCCACTCCCCTCCACGCACTCTCCTACCTCTCCCTCTCATCTCACTCTACTCCCATCCACACACTCTCCTACCTCTCCCTCTCATCTCACTCTACTCCCCTCCACGCACTCTCCTACCTCTCCCTCTCATCTCACTCCACTCCCCTCCACGCACTCTCCTACCTCTCCCTCTCATCTCACTCTACTCCTCTCCACACACTCTCCTACCTCTCCCTCTCATCTCACTCCACTCCCCTCCACGCACTCTCCTACCACTCCCCTCTCATCTCACTCTACTCCCCTCCACACACTCTCCTACCTCTCCCTCTCATCTCACTCCACTCCCCTCCACGCACTCTCCTACCTCTCCCTCTCATCTCACTCTACTCCCCTCCACACACTCTCCTACCTCTCCCTCTCATCTCACTCTACTCCCATCCACGCACTCTCCTACCTCTCCCTCTCATCTCACTCTACTCCACGCTTTCTCCCACCTCTCCCATCTCACTCTACTCCACGCACTCTCCTGCCTCTCCCCTCTCACCCCCACGCACGCCACCCATCGGCGCTTCCGACACGCATGACCCACCACGACGTGTAGAATTGGAGCGCCGGCACTTGAGCCGTCGCTCGATGCAAACGCGACCTCGGTCGCTCCGCGGCGACTCCCCCATCGCACGTCCGCACGCCAGATTGCATTTTGGCTGCGACGTTTCCGGAATATCGCCAAATAATTGCCGCCCGGGGGGGGGGTTAATCGACTTACGAGCAAGCGGACGGGGGAGGCGCGGGGGGTGGGGGTGAGGGTGATGGTGTGGGGGGCGAGTTTTTCTTGTCTGCGTAATTCACTTTCGAACATATCCTGCAAGTGGAGTGCAATTCCACCCCGTAATGCGAGTGGTGCTAACGCGGTTATTTTGTCGAACGTTTCAACCTGCCGTGTAAATCTGCACAAAGGCAAAGATCCCCCACCCCCTCCCCCGTATAGCCTCGACAGGCTTTCGGGGCAAGTGCTGCTAGCGGGTGAAGCCTAGGAAGGTCGCCACGGCGCCCCAAGGGGTGGGTGACCGACACCGCGCGCCACGCAGCCTTCATCTCCCCAGTGGCTGATGTCTTACCCATCGCACCAGGTTACTCATTTGAGGCGCCCCAGAAGAGGCCCGGCACCGGAGCGGATAATCGTCACCAGTTGTCGGTGGCCGCGAGCGGCACTCGAACTCGGCCCGCGTGGGTCCGTAGCGGCGGCGCCGCCGCTCCCCACCTACACGCACGGCTGCGCGTGTTCGATGGCGCGACGTCCGACGTTTCGCGCCACGTGCCCGCGGGAGCTCTCCTTCGAGAGAAGCTCACTTGTGGATCCTGACCAAGGGCGAACGGGACAGGTCTGCCGGCCGCTGCCTCGCTGGCCCGCGTCTGTCTGAGCCAGTGAAACTTGATCTATCACATACAATTATTTTTTTTAAATGTTAACCCTCACCGGCATATCCCCGTTTGGTGAATTGACCTCGGCGACCCACGTGCTACCACGAGGGAGGCCTTCATCCGTCGGTGGATTGACAAGGGGGGGGTGGCGGGGGGCTGGGGGGTGGGGCTTGCACCCCCCTCGGTCTGCGAGGGTGATGATGGTGAAGATGCCCATTTATGAGGTGCGGGGGGCAGGGGGGCGGGTTATGTTTTTAATTTCGTCGACGTTGATCTTGTATGCAAAGGTCACCGACGCATGTGTGTGTGTGTGTGTGTGGGGGGGGAGCCGGGGGACGGGGAGGGGGGGAGAGGGGGGGGCATCTCTTGGGGGCCTGGAGGTTCACCTGTTGCTGCCGAGCGAGAGGCCGTTTGGTCCGCTCGACGTGCGCTTTCGTGCGCGCGTCACCGCTACCCAGTGCCGACGTCACTGCTCCCCCAGTGCCGACGTCACAATCAAAATATCACGCGCGCGCACAAAGACAATGATTCCCCACACCCCCAACCCGCCTTTCCCCCTCGTACAGCCGGTAAGGGATTGTTGGGGCACAGGGCTGTTAGCGAGCCCCAGTGAAGTCCCGCACGGCACACCACAGGGGTGCGTTGGCCGACATCGCACGCGGCCGCCTTTGTTTCCCCAGTGCCGATGTTTACACGACGCACATCTGAGGCTAAGTCGACCGAGGAGAGGCCAGAGGACCGGTTCAAATGTTCGCCGTCACTGTTATTGGACCGTGAGCGCGAGTCAAAGGCGGTGGCGCGCTAACCCGCTGCGCCACCGCTCCCCACTCGCTCACACAAGCAAAGACAAAGATCGCCCGTATAGCCTTAACAGACTGTAGGGGCAAGTGCTGTTAGAAAGCACCTATGAAGGCCGTCACGGCACACGAGGGGGTGGGTGGGTGGCCAGCACCACGCCCGGCCGCCTTGTATCCCCAGTGGCGATGTTTATACGCACCGCACCGAGTACTCAGTTGAGGCTGAGTCGACCTAGGTGAGGCCCAGGACCGGTTCAGATAATCGTCACTGGGTGTAGCGCGAACCGCTACACTACCCGCTACACTACCTGCTACACTACCCGCTACACTATCCGCTACAATACCTGCTACACTACCCGCTACACTACCTGCTACACTACCCGCTACACTACCTGCTACACTACCCGTTACACTACCTGCTACACTACCCACTACACTACCCAAGCTAACCGCTACACTACCCGCTACACTACCCACTACAATACCTGCTACACTACCCACTACACTACCCAAGCTAACCACTACACGACCCCCTACACTACCCGCTACCCTACCCGCTACACTACCCAAGCTAACCGCTACACTACCCGCTACACTACCTGCTACCTTACCCACTACACTACCCGCTACACTACCCGAGTTAACCGCTACACTACTCGCTACACTACCCAAGCTAACTGCTACACTACCCGCTACACTACCTGCTACACTACACGCTACACTATCCGCTACACTACCTGCTACACTACCCACTACACTACCTGCTACACTACCCGCTACACTACCTGCTACACTACCCGTTACACTACCTGCTACACTACCCACTACACTACCCAAGCTAACCGCTACACTACCCGCTACACTACCCGCTACACTACCTGCTACACTACCCACTACACTACCCAAGCTAACCACTACACGACCCCCTACACTACCCGCTACCCTACCCGCTACACTACCCAAGCTAACCGCTACACTACCCGCTACACTACCTGCTACCTTACCCACTACACTACCCACTACACTACCCGAGTTAACCGCTACACTACTCGCTACACTACCCAAGCTAACTGCTACACTACCCGCTACACTACCGCACCCTACTCACACTCTCCCCCCCCTCCCCCCTCTCTCTCACCGCAGATCATATCGCCTGAGTACTTCATCCACGCACTCTTCTGCCTCATGTTCCTCTGCGCCATGGAGTGGCTCACGCTCAGCCTCAACACTCCGCTGCTGTGCTACCACGTGTGGAGGTGAGGGCGAGCCATGCTCACCACCACCACCAGCAGCAGCATCCTCACCACCACTGTCACCCTCACCACCATCATCACCACCCCCCATCCTCCAAAACCATTCCCACAACCATCCACGTCACGAACGTCTTCATCCCCACCATTCCTCACCACCATCATCACCATGATCCGCATCAACACTCCACACCACCATCCTCATCCTCACCGCCATCCTCACCACCAACACCATCATCACCATGATCCTCATTCTCACCAAAATCCTCCCCACCATCCTCACCATTTCACACCACAAACCTCATCACCATCCTCACTCTCATCAAAACCACTATCCTCATCCTCACCATGATTCTCATCCACACCCCTGACCACCATCGTCATCCTCACCACCATTCCTCACCATCATCATCACCATGATCCCCATCCTCACCACCATCCTCACCATCATCCTCATCCTCACCACCATTCCTCACCATCATCATCACCATGATCCTCATCCTCACCACGAACCTCATCCTCACAATGCTCACTACGATCCTTACTATCCTCACGCTCATTCATACGTACCCACGCCATGTGCACGACAGTCACCGGAACATTCGGTCACATCGAACAATGGCAACGCATTCAACCGCTCATTGCAGAGGTTCGCGGTTCAAGCCCAGCGACCGCCCTGGTTAATTCTGCGGTGCGCGACATTAACTATAACATAACAAAAGAATCCTACTCCGCTCCCGTGGCCGCCGTCAGAGATCCCTGCAACGTCATTCAAAAAGGACCAGGCCATTTTATTGTTGCTGTCCGCATTGCGGACCCTCAATATTCCAAACGTGAAAAATGTATCTGCAAAAAACGAGCAACTGGGATGCCACATAGCAATCAATGCCCCCCACCCCCCACCTCCTGGCCAATCCACTACCACGCTTTCTAACTGCCCCCCGTCTCCTGGCCAATCCGCTACCATGCTTTCTAACTGTCCCCTGTGTCTTGGCCAATCCTCTACCACGCTTTCTAACTGTCCCCTGTGTTTTGGCCAATCCACTACCACGCTTTCTAACTGTCCTCTGTGTCTTGGCCAATCCTCTACCATGCTTTCTAACTGCCCCCCATCTCTTGGCCAATCCACTTCCACGCTTTCTAACTGTCCCCCGTCTCTTGGCCAATCCACTTCCACGCTTTCTAACTGCTCCTCATCTCCTGGTCAATCTGCCTTCCAACTTTCTAACTGCCCCCTGTCTCCTGGCCAATCCGCTGCAATGCTTTCTAATTGCTCCCCATCTATTGGCCAATCCACTTCCACGCTTTCTAACTGCTCCTCGTCTCCTGGCCAATCCACTTTCCCACTCTCTAACTGCCCTCCGGCTCCTGGCCAATCTGCTACCACGCTTTCCATCTGCCCCTGTCTCTTGGCCCTTCGGTTACCAAACTTTCTAACTGCCCCCCGTCTGCTTTGCCAATTCACGCGGCCCTCAACTTGAAAAAGTACTCCGCAAAAAACGCACAACTGGGATGCCACGTAGCAATTAACACCCCCCCCCCCCCGCGCCTCCCCCTTACTCGGAAAACTTGATAGAACCCTCATGAGGCTTTCCTGGGTCAAAACAAGCGGAATAATAATGACGATGATACAATACGATAACAATTCATAACATTGAACAGACGTGGAGGAGGTGGCCTGGGAGTGGTTCAGAAATCTCTGGGGCAGCACAGAACGAGGCCGTGATGGATGCAGTCGTGCGGGACATGAAATTATAGCACGTTAACAACGTCAATCCACACGTCCCTCCTCCCTCTCGCCTTGTACCAGGATTTGTTGCCCCATCACCGCGTCGTTCACGGAAGTTGATTGGCTATAACTTCACCACGCTGGTCAGTGCAGGCTGAGGAAGAGGGGGCCTACAATCAATTCCGATGTCGCTCGCTACCGATGCCAGCCATGGCCGGGAACCGAACTCGGTTTTTGGTGGGTTTGCAGCAAAACAGTGCGCTAACCGCTATGCCCTGAACAATCACGCGTGCACCTGGGAGGGAGTCCACACAGACAATTGCTTCGAGTGTGGGAAGGGCGAGAGTTTATTCAGCTGACGACATGCACACTCGTTCGCTCGCTAGCCAGGAGATACATCTCAAATGCGCCCCCAATTCCCGTTGCGGCCCCCTCCCTTTCATACTAATTCAAGCTTATTCTTTGGGTCTTTCGGTAAAGTCAGGTAGATAGGTTAAAAAAAGTAATACAATAAACAAAAAACTAGGAAGTTTCGATCGTAACACAAGCGACCGTCGTTAGGTGGAAAAAGGTGGGGGGGGAGCAACTAAGCGCAAGCTGTTTGAAGGTTTCATACAAGCTCTCTGTCAACGTTTCATAACTGCCCCCCGTCTCTTAGCCAATTCGCTGCCCTGCTTACGAACTGCCCCCATCATCTGGACAATCAGCTATCATGCTTTCTAACTGCTCCCCGTCTCCAGTCCAATCCGCTTCTACGCTTTTTAACTGCCCCCCATCTCCTGACCAATCCGCTGCCACGCTTTCTAACTGCCATCCCCCCCCCCCCCCCATCTCCTGGCCAATCGCCTACTACATTTATAACTTTCCGTCCGTCTACTGGCCAATCCGCTGCCCTGCATTTTCCCTTCAAATTTTACCACGCTTCGACCATTTCAAATTCTCAGCCAATGAGGTCAGACCGCCCAACGTCCGACCAATCCGATGTGCACACTGTCCGTTCGGCAATCAAATTGGCAGAGCCGCACGGGCTGACAACTGGCCAATGGCAATGAGGCTGACGGATTTCAAATATCGAGGCCGTTGAGATTCGCCGAAAGTGATGGCGAAATCACGAACGAATAGGGGTACGCCTTTCACCGACCCTTACACACGTAAGCACTCAAACTCCCACACTTCACGTAATGGGCAATTAGCACGTGCAAATTGTTAGTTTCCACTTTACTCAAAATAAGTTACAACTTGTCAGCAGTAGGGTTCCTGAGTGTTGATTGTACGGGGATGTAGCTGCGGGTGATCACTCGTAGACTAGTAGACCTGGGAAGACGTGATGTGTATCTTCTATCGCTACTACCACGGCCAATGTCCCATGAACTTCGCTCGTTGATAACTCTACCAATGTTGAGCACTGGGTCCACCAGACCTAAGGTCACGTGTCATCTGCCCACATACTTGCGTTGCAACCACCAAGGACTCACTCACCCACTAAAACCAACGCTCACCCACTCGCTCAGCCAACCGCCATACAGAAAGTCACGTGCGTGCGTGTATGTTCGTGTCTTTGTCCCTTGTGTGTTCGTCTCTGCAGTGCATGCTTTGCTTGCTTGTATTGCTCGATTTGCCTATATGTGCGTGTGTACGTGTGTGTGTATAGGTAGTGAGGAGTGGTAGTATAGCGGTTCGCATGCCGCGCTACGAACCCGGCGACCCGAGTTCGATTCCTGCTCAGGGCCAACACCAGTGACGATTATCTGAACCGGTCCTGGGCCTTTTCTGAGTCGAAACAGTCTCAAATGAGTACCTGATGTGGTGTGTAAAACATTCCCACTGGGAAGACAAATGTGACCGGGCGTGGTGTTGGCCACCCACCTCCTCGTGTGCCTTTCTGGCTTTCATAGGTGCTCGCGAACAGCACTTGCCCCTACAGTCTGTTAAGGCTATACGGGGGATCTTTGAAAAAAAAATGTGTGTAAGTATAGGTTTCTCGCGAGCAGCACTTGCCCGAACAGTCTGTTAAAATCTTCTTGGTTCTTTCGGTAAAGTCACGTACAATGGAAATAATAAAATAATAAAAATAAAACATAATAAAATAATTCTCACGACGTTTCAGCCACAACGCAAGCAGCCGTCCTCAGGTGGAGAACAGGTCTGCTTGCGTTGTGGCCGAAACGTCGTGAGAATTATTTTATTATGTTATATTTTTATTATTTTATTATTTCCTTTCTACGTGACTTTACCGAAAAAACCAAGAAGATGAATCCCTGCAGTCACGAAAGCTTTAAATCGAAAGTCTGTTAACGCTCTATGGGCGGTCTTTGTGTAGGTATTGGGAGCGGTAGGGCCGCTGTTATCGCACTGCACTACAAACCCGGCGACCCAAGTTCAATTCCCGCTTCAAGGTCTTCACGGTGTGCTGCTTTCAAACGGCACTCGCCCCAACAGTCTGTTGAAGGCTATTCCCGCGTTGGGGGGGTCTTTGTCTTTGTGTCTGTCTGTAGGTACTTCCACAGGCCCCTGTTAGACGGCCTGTACAGCCCCACGAGCCTGACGAACGTGGAGGTGCTGGGCTACTGCCAGCGGGAAGGCTGGCTCAAGCTGGGCTTCTACCTTCTCTCCTTCTTCTATTACCTCTACAAGTGAGTGTCCACTAACCCCCCCACCCCCACCCCACCCCTGCCCACCTCCACCTCGCTCGCTAGCTCACTCACCCAATACTAAAATGGCGGCCTGGCGTGGTCTTGGTCACCCACCTGCTCGTGTGCCGTGCCGCCACCTCGTAGGTGCTCGCTAAGAGCACTTGCCCCCGAAAGCATGTTAAGGCTATACGGGGGGATCTTTTATGGGGGGGGGGTGCATGTGCTCATTAGTGCATCTATGAGGGTATGGGGAGCGGTGGTGTAGTGGTTAGTGCACCGGGCTACGATCCCGGAGCCCCGGGTTCGATTCCCGCTCACGGCCAACACCAGTGACGATTATTTGAACCTCGTCCTGGGCCTCCCCTAGGTCGACTCAGCCACTGGTGAGACAAAGGCGGCCGGGCGTGGTGCTGGCCACACACCCCCTCGTGTGCCGTGCCGGCCTTCATAGGTGCTCGCGAACAGCACTTGCCCCAACAGTCTGTTAAGTCACGTCCGATTAGCACGGTTGGCTACGTTGAATGCGACAGAAGTTCAACATGCACACACGTACACACTCATGGCACGACGAGGGGATCTCTCTCTTGTGTGTGCGTGGGAGGACGTCAAACGCAGGTAATTGAATGATTGATGCCTTCCTGTTGCTACTCACATTCGCGGCAATGAACACCGCCGATGTGAAGCCCTGTGGAAAATCTCAGCTGGCCCGATTTCTCTTTGAGATGCACGCCACGCACGCGCGCGTTTGATTACTTAGCGAAATTTGTATAAAGTCGTAAAAACTAACTATTTGTAAAATATAAATAGTCAGTTTTTATGACTTTAATCATCAATTATTACCAATAACAAAGTTCATGGTAATAATTGTGTGCATGTTATGATAGTTTATAATTTATAGAAGCAAAATAAAAAATATATCAACATTGACAACTCAACAAAAATCATTATATTTTTGCCTGTGGTACCTGGCCTTAACAAATAATCTTAGCAGGTACATTAACAATACATGAAGGGTAAAGTTAGCACTTTAGATATCTTTACTGAACAGATATAATGCAGAACCACCAGTACTTGCCTCACCTACCAGTAGATGATCATGAGCAAACAAGCTGCTAGAAACAAAAGGAAAACAGAAAGCGCCAATCTATTCCAGACTTAACTAAGTCACTGACATTGAAGAACAAGCGCGAATAAATGCAAGAATATGTATGAAATACATGCCTTGGGGACAACATGCATTTTGTCAATTATTTCTTGTCTTAATTAACAGCAGAGGTGTTGGAATGTTTTATTTGTAACGTCCGGGCAAATAGGCGTGATTGCGAGGGGTGCAAAAACAGGTTTCCTGCGAGAAAAATTAAACAGCCGCTCATTTGGAAAGGTTATCATGTAGTCGTTTACTACTGTTGGTTTAACACATAAAACGGCACCATTTAAGTTTTTGCACCTTGGGTGGTACCGATATGTGGTCTGGCCCAAGGACTAATCAACTCGCTGTACTTCAGAGTTAAGTTTAATCACTACTGGGCCTCTGTGAATCTCTCGGTCTCTATGTGAGCCTGTGGGTCTCGATGTGAGTCGCTGGGTCTCTGTATGAGCCTGTAGGTCTCTATATCAGTCTGTGGGTCTCTATGTGAGTCTATGGGTTTCTGTGAGTCTATGGGTCTCTATGTGAGTATAAGGGTCTCTGTGTGAGTCTATGGATCCCTATGTAAGTCTATGAGTCTATATGTGAGTGTCGGTCTCTATGTGAGTCTATGAGTCATTGTGTGAGTCTCTGGGACTTTATGCGAGTCTATGGTCCCTATGTGAGTCTATGAGTTTATATGTGAGTATGGGTCTCTATGTGAATACATGGGTCTCTATGTGAGTATATGGGTCTATATGTGAGTCTATGGGTCTCTGTAAGTCTATGGGTCTTCATGTGACTCTTTGAGTCTCTATGTGAGTCGATGGGTCTCTATTTGAGCCTATGGGTCTCTATATGAGTATAAGGGTCTCTGTGTGAATACATGGGTCTCTTTGTTAGTATATGGGTCCCAATGTAAGTCTATTAGTCTCTATGTGAGTGTGGGTCTCTGTGTGAGTATATGGATCTCTATGTGAGTCTATGAGTCACTGTGTGAGTCTCTGGGACTTTATGCGAGTCTATGGTCCCTATGTGAGTCTATGAGTTTATATGTGAGTATGGGTCTCTATGTGAATACATGGGTCTCTATGTGAGTATATGGGTCTATATGTGAGTCTATGGGTCTCTGTAAGTCTATGGGTCTTCATGTGACTCTTTGAGTCTCTATGTGAGTCGATGGGTCTCTATTTGAGCCTATGGGTCTCTATATGAGTATAAGGGTCTCTGTGTGAATACATGGGTCTCTTTGTTAGTATATGGGTCCCAATGTAAGTCTATTAGTCTCTATGTGAGTGTGGGTCTCTGTGTGAGTATATGGATCTCTATGTGAGTCTATGAGTCACTGTGTGAGTCTCTGGGACTTTATGCGAGTCTATGGTCCCTATGTGAGTATGGGTCTTTGTGTGAGTCTATGGGTCTCTATGCGAGTTTGTGAGTCTTTGTGTGAGTCTATGGGTCTCTATGGGAGTCGATTAACCTTTGTGTGAGTCTATGGGTCTCTATGTGAGTCATTGTTGACTGAGCTGAGACAATCTCGCTGCCCTTGAGATCCCGGTACAATCGCAGGCAGCGGCTGAAACCAGGATTTGAACCCAGGATTCTCAGCGCCACCGGCTCAGCACTCACCCACCTGCCCCTTCTGAGTGTGGATTTTACAAACACGACCACATAATCAACGGCGAGTGATCCCTGAACCCAGTTCAATACTCCATTAACCCAATTTTATTATTAGCAGCCCTTTAATTAGTGGAAGCCCACCACCAGGACCATCGCTGCGCACTACTACCATCACGACTAGCAGAAGCCTTTTATTGGTGGAAGCCCACCACCAGGACCATCATTACCCACTACTACCATCCCCTCTAGCAGCAGCAACCTCCACCATCGACAGTGTGAGTGTATAAAGCGAGGTGCAGTGATTACCTGGCGGCCATTTAAATGGGGGAAACCCACCACCAGCGCCGTCGTTGCCCACTACTACCATCACTCACATTAACATTAGCTGCTCTGCCCTTGCTGCTGACACGTGGGCTACGCCCATGTTAAACCTTTACCTGGCAGCCATTTAATTGGTGGAAACCCACCACAAACGCCGCCATTGCCCATCACTCACATTAACATTAGCTGCCCCGCCCATGCTGCTGACACGTTGGGCTACGCCCATTTTAAACCTTTATAAACAGTTTGCCTTTAGAGGCTAACCCCCTTTTCCTGATGACAACCGTTTGTGTTGCGATCGAAACGTCGTGTTTTTTTTTATTTTTGTATCATTACATTTTATTCACTTCATTATAATTTTTCAATCTACGTGACTTTACCGAAAGAACCAAAGAATATCCATGAACCCAGTCCAGTGATCCCTGAACCCCGTTCAGTGATCACTCGCCGCGTAGGGCCACCAACAGCACTGCAGGGTCTCTTCGGCACTTCCCAGGCGGCGGAGGCGGGAGGTGGTGCGGGGTGGCGGCGGGGGTGGCAGGGGCGTCTTGGGGAGGGCATGCGCCTGGCCTGGCCGAGATGTCAAGAGTCGTTGTTTGATTTTCCCTTTTGTTTATTTCCTCTTTCATTCCAAACTTAAATCGCTCGTCCCTTGAGCTGCTGTCATCGTCGTTGATGTTGCTGATGCTGTTGTTGTTGATGCTCTTGATGTTGGATTATCAGACAGCCTCCCGCTGATATGTATAGACGGGCACGGTGCTGGTGACAATAATCTGAACCACTCCTGGGCCTCTTCCCTCGGTCGACTCAGCCTTAAATGAGCACTTGGTACGACATGTAAACATCAGCACTTACGCGGCCACGCGTGGTGCTGCTCGCCACCCGCTCACCTCGTGTGCCCGGCCTTCGTAGGTGATACGCGCTAACAGCACTTGCCCTAACAGTTCGTTAAGGCTATACGGGGGATCTTTGTTCTAGTGGAGATGGGGGGGGGGAGACACAGCGGGACTCCTTCTCTCATGGTCTCGATCACGAGAATAATAATGATCCCCCCCCCCACACATCCTCCACGAACCCCCACCATCTCCTCCTCCCTCCACGGTGGCCGTCGCCCATCGGCTGCGGATTGAAAATCTTTTCTCGCTCACGATTGCCAACGCGGCGTTTCGTTGCCCACGGAGGTGTTTGATTAGCGACGTAACGGTCGCGATCAATGCTGGCAGCTGAGTCCGTGCGTGGGTCGCAATGGGAACACGCGGCTCGGATAAGTAGCGGCTCTGCCCGGGAGGTCGCGGGGGTCACGCTGTGATCAACGTGGCCGGCTGTCTCTCTCGGGCGAGACTCTAAGAGCGACACAGCCTCGACACACTGAAGGTCCACTCGTATCGGATCAGCTTCGCGAGAGATACCGTGACCCCACGTTACACACAGACACGTCACTGTGACCCCACGTTACACACAGATCAACATTCACTCCACCGTGACCCCACGTTACACGCAGATACTTCACCGTGACCCCACGTTACACACAGACACTCCACCGTGACCCCACGTTACACGCAGACACTTCACCGTGACCCCACGTTACACACAGTCACTCCACCGTGACCCCACGTTACACGCAGACACTTCACCGTGACCCCACGTTACACACAGACACTCCACCGTGACCCCACGTTACACACAGTCACTCCACCGTGACCCCACGTTACACACAGACACACAGTCACTTCACCGTGACCCCACGTTACACACAGACACTTCACTGTGACCCCACGTTACACACAGACACACAGACACTTCACCGTGACCCCACGTTACACACAGACACTTCACTGTGACCCCACGTTACACACAGACACACAGACACTTCACCGTGACCCCACGTTACACACAGACACAGTCACTTTACCGTGACCCCACGTTACACACAGATACATAGTCACTTCACTGTGACCCCACGTTACACACAGACACTTCACCGTGACCCCACGTTACACACAGACACACAGACACTTCACCGTGACCCCACGTTACACACAGACACACATTCACTTCACCGTGACCCCACGTTACACACAGACACACAGTCACTTCACCGTGACCCCACGTTACACACAGACACTTCACCGTGACCCCACGTTACACACAGACACTTCACCGTGACCTCACGTTACACACAGACACTTCACCGTGACCCCACGTTACACACAGACACTTCACCGTGACCCCACGTTACACACAGACACACAGACACACAGACACTCCACCGTGACCCCACGTTACACACATTCACTTCACCGTGACCCCACGTTACAGACAGACACGCAGTCAAATTCGGAATGCGGCGGTGGCCGGACTGCGCCGAACAAAGCGGTCGACAGATGCTGCGCACAAATTAATCTGTCCGGGGGTGCCGGGGAGAAAGGGGGGGGGGGGGACGGCAGAGTTTTTATGGGGGGGGGGGCGAGCAGAAGGCATTGGGGACGATGTCCCCCTTTGATGGAGAATTCTGCGGAGATGTGAGCGGAACATCCACATAGCTCGCCGCGATCCTTCTCGCCGGACGCCTGCCCCCCCCCCAATGCAAGCAGATGGGATACCCCCGGCCCCCACTCCACCCCCCCCCACTCCACCCCCCCCACTCCACCCCCCCCCCCCCCACTCCACCCCCCCCCCCCACTCCACCCCCGCCCCCTAACGCGAGGCCAGAGGCAGAGAGGGGAGCCGAGCAGCCAGCGACAATCTGGCAGCTCGTGTCCCTAGCCGACCCAGCCCCATTATCACCGAAGACAAAGATCCACCGCCACCCCCCCCCCCCCCCGGAGCCTCTGAGAGTCTGTGGGAGCAGTAGCACCTCGTGGGAGGGCGGTGGATGGGACAGCGTCACGTGGCCGTCCGCCGCCGTCTTCCGTCGGCGGCTCGCCCCGATCGAAGCCGCCCGTGGACCGGTTACCGATGTTCGTCACCGATGTTGGCCCCGAGTGAAAGTCGAGTGTGGAGCAGTGCGCTGACCACTGCGACAACACTCCGCACACGCGGATGAACGCACTGCGCGCGCGCAAACGCATGCGCACGGATACACACGTGTTCGACGTGAATCTGTCAATGGATAAGTGTACCGACAAAGATAAAGATCCCCCGTATAGCCTCAACGGACTGTAGGGGCAAGTGCTGTTAGCGAGCACCTATGAAGGCCGGGACGGCACACGAGGGGCTGGGTGGCCAGCACCACGCCCGACCGCCTTTGTCTCCCCAGTGGCGATGTTTACACACCGCACCAGGTACTCATTTGAGGCTGAGTCGACCCAGGACCGGTTCGGACAATCGTCACCGGTGTTGGCCGTGACCAGGAATCGAACCCGGGTCGCCGGGTTCATAGTGCAGCGCAAACCACTACACCACCACTCGCCACAAGAGTGTACCAACAAAGATCCCCCGTGTAGCCTTAACAGACTGTGGGGGCAAGTGCTGTTAGCGAGCACCAACACACACCAGCACACCGGCATTACATGACAGGTGACACACAGGCACACGACAACCAATAACAGCCGCCATTCACCGCTAAGTGAGTGCCAGGTTAGATGCACTTTGAGGATACCGCGTGGAGCGTGGAAAGTTGCCAGGAGGTCACATGACAGCCCCAAGGTGTAATGAGTCGACTGCCTGAGATTGACTTAACAGATTCACCACCTGTGCACCCCACTGTGCCAAGATGAAGATCCCCCGGATAGCCTCGAGCAGACTTTTGGGGCAAGTGCCGTTGGCGACTTTGCAGCACCTCACGAAGGCCGGAATGGCACACGAGAGGAGGGGGGGGGTGGCACAACGCCATGCCCTGAGCCACCTTTGTCTCCCCAGTGCTGATATTTACACACCGCACCAAGTACTATGTTTTCTTTGGCGAAACCCATAGAGCAGGTTCAAATATGCCCCACTGTTTATCACTTGGAGGTGGGAATCGGAGCTGAGCCACCAATTATGGAGCACAGTGGGCTAACCACTGCGCCACCGCTCCCCAAAACACACACAGACGTACACAACCCACACCAAAAACGGACACTTAAAACGTTTTTTCACAACTATCATCACGAGTTTGCGACGGTAATATCTGTGTGTGAGGAGCGGTAGTGTAGCGGCTAGCACGCCGCGCTACGAACCTGGCAGACCCGAGTTCCATTCCCACTCACGGCCAACACCAGTGACGATTATTTGAACTGCTACTGGGGCCTACCCTCAGTCAACTCATCCTCAAATTAGTACTTGGTGCGGTGTAAAAAAATATATATATCGCCACTAGGGAGACAAAGGCGGTCGGGCGTGGTGATAGCCACCCACGCCCCTGATGTACCGTTCCGGCCTTCGTAGGTGCTCGCTAACAGCACTTGCCCCTATAGTCTGTTACAGGCTACACGGGGGGGTCTTTGTTTTCTTTGCCACGTGTTTGTGTTTCTGCGAATTGCGTCGCTAACCCTTGTTCTCTCTCTGCTCAATTCGCAGCATGATATACACGCTCATCGCTAACGTATAGAGAGGAGAGGAGAGAGACAACAACTGGACATCCGGATGAATACGAAGAGACATTTTTTTTAAACAAAAGCGAACAGCAAAGACCACTGGACAACGATGACTGGGAGTTGTTTTTTGCGGTCTTATTTTTTTTGTATTCCCGGAGAAGACTGCGACTACTGCTGCTGCTGCTGCTGGTGGTCGTGGTGTTTCTCTCGCTCGCTCGCTCGCTCCCCCTCTCTCTTCAAAAACAAAACCTCTGAACGGTGGATTCGGCATCTGCCGCTCAACTGGCGGAGGAGTCTCATCCACTGGGGGTGTGGGGTGGCCACGTGGTGCTGGTGGTGGTGGTGGGGGGCTGGCGGGGACGACTTCTCAAGCGACGGCGAAACTTCACTTTTGTGCGTGGGTTCAATCGGCAGCGAGGAGTGGCGAGCGGTGGCGGTGAACACGACGGAGCTCATCTGAACCCCCCCCACCGCCGCCCCCGCCGCCGCGTTCCGACGGCGCGCGGAGGAGCCGAGGGAGGGGGGGGCAGGGGAGAGCCTCTTCGTCCGCATCCTGGGAAAGAGGAAAAGAAATATTTTACAAACTTACGCTGCTTCGTGTGTATCATGGCTCGCTCTGGTTTTTTTTGATCGCGGGAAGATTCTGAAATGAATTATGTTCTTAATTTTTTTAACCGCGCAAACTGGCGCAGAAAAACTCTTTTCCAATGACTTCGCGATTGACGGTTTTGGTTTTATTTCATGGGTTTTGTGTGTGTGTGTGTCTGTGAGCAGAAGAATAACGGGAGGAATTTTTTCAGATATTGCCCGATGGTGGAAACCCTCTGGAGATGTGTAATGAGCGATGTGACGTGACCTCAGTTAGTTTTGAATTCGCGATGGAGATTTAAATTCGCCGGTGAGAAGGAGATTTGGAATGAGCGATGGACGGGAACTCTGTTGGTTTTGAATTCGCGATGGAGATTTAAATTCGCCGGTGGGAATGAGATTGGAATTATCGATGGGAGGGAACCTCTGGACATTGGAATTAACAACAACAAAAACACAATGTGGAATTTTTCGATTTAAAGCTTTCGTGACTGCAGGGATTCATCTTTTTGGTTCTTTCGGTAAAGTCACGTAGAAGGGAAGTAATAAAATAATAAAAAATAAAACATAATTAAATAATTCTGCTGCTGCTTGCGTTGTGGCCGAAACGTCGTGAGAATTATTTAATTATGTTTTATTTTTTATTATTTTATTACTTCCCTTCTACGTGACTTTACCGAAAGAACCAAGAAGACATTGTGGAATCTCACAAACAAAATGCTTTCCTGGCACCCCATGACCCCCTTCCAGACGAGCGTGGCATCTCCTTCGTGTCGCGGGTCTCACTTCTCAGAATCGTCCGTGCGATGGGAAATCTGCGCGCGGGTGTGCGACGGTTATCCGCTCGACATGATGATCTTTTGTTACTTTCTCAAACGACGGGAGATATTTGTCTTCGGGGTTTATATATGTACACCAATCCATCGTCCCGTTTGCTACTGGCGTATACACAAGTGTCAACGTGCAACGGCTCTCGCCTGCTATTTTATAGGCTTTGTCATTTTTTTTTAAAACAACGCGTGGTTGCCAGATCTACAAACTCCGATGCTGCTGCTGTTGCTGCTGTTGCTTCCCTGCCACGGCGCGTGTATCGGTGTTGTAGCCCCGCGGGCTTCGTCCGTCTGTCCGTGTTAGCAGAGGCTCGGGTGGGGAGGGCTTGGGAGGGTAGGGGTTGTGGTGGTGGTGGTGGAATCCACGGCGATTGTGACGACGCATCACGTTCCCAAAGGATTCCGAACGCCAACACTCTCTGCGAATGATGGGGAGGGGTGGGGAGGGGGGGAGGGAGGGAAACCCTCGAAACCCCGAACCACAAACGCGATCACCGTCGTCGCCGTTACGACAGGGAAAGGGACGCGCGCTGGGTTGGTAACGAATGGAAATGACGGCACGCAAAGGTGACGGGTGGATGAGTGAGCGAGTGAGCAGGCGAATGGGTGAGAGCGCGTGGGTGGGTGGGTGAGTGGGTGAACGAGACGAGTGAATGGACGAATGAGAGAGTGTGAATGCATGAGTGAGTGGGTGAATGATAGAGAGAGTGGGTGAGTATGTTCGAGAGTAGGTGAATAAGTGAGAGAGTGGGTGAATGAGTGAGAGAGTTTGTGAATGCATGAGTGAGTGAGTTAGAGAGTGGGTGAATGAGTGAGAGAGTGAGTGAATGCATGAAGGAGTGGGTGAGTACGTTAGAGAGTGGGTGAATGATAGAGAGAGTGGGTGAATGAGTGAGAGAGTGGGTGAATACATGAGTGAGTGGGTAAGTTAAAGAGTGGGTGAATGAGTGAGAGAGTGTGTTGATGCATGAGTGAGTGGGTGAGTTAGAGAGTGGGTGAATGATAGAGAGAGTGGGTGAATGAGTGAGAGAGTGGGTGAATACATGAGTGAGTGGGTGAGTTAGAGAGTGGGTGAATGAGTGAGAGAGTGGGTGAATACATGAGTGAGTGGGTGAGTTAGAGAGTGGGTGAATGAGTGAGAGAGTGGGTGAATGATAGAGAGAGTGGGTGAATGAGTGAGAGAGTGGGTGAATACATGAGTGAGTGGGTGAGTTAGAGAGTGGGTGAATGAGTGAGAGAGTGGGTGAATGATAGAGAGAGTGGGTGAATGCATGAGTGAGTGGGTGAGTTAGAAAGTGGGTGAATGAGTGAGAGAGTGGCTGAATGCATGAGTGAGTGGGTGAGTTAAAGAGTGGGTGAATGAGTGAGAGAGTGGGTGAATACATGAGTGGGTGGGTAAGTACGTTAGAGAGTGAGTGAATGAGTGAGAGATTGGGTGAATACATGAGTGAGTGGGTGAGAGAGTGGGTGAATGAGTTTTGTGAATGAGTGGGTGAGTGCGTGATAGAGTGAGCGAGTGGGTGAGTGAATGTGTACTGCTGCTCACGAACAGCGGCTACCAGGCTCGACTCTCATCCATACGCCTCGCGCGCAAGTCATGTGACCACTGCACCCGCATCTGTACTGTACAATGCGCTCAGCCTTGCCTAGACCACCAACTCAAGCGATTCAACAACACGCAAAGGTGTGCCGCTTTCGCAGCAGCAAAGCACGGCTCCTGTCTCCACACCTCGCACACGTGTCATGTGACCACCACACTACGCAGCCTTGTCTAGACCACCAGCACCTGAAGAGTTCAACACGGGGGGAGGGAGAGGCGGGGGGAGGGGGCTATACTTGTTCAGGCCACCAACTCTAATCGAGTTAAACGCGTGCAACACGTGACCGCATTATTGAGCAACAATTCGACCACGCTCTTTTGAGCTGGTGGTCTCGTCAAGGCTGGGAGCATTGCGCGTGCAAGCGTGATGGATGTGCATGTATGGTGGACTTCTTTCGCACCGTACGTAGCCAGCCAACGGAGGTGCAGGGGAAGGACAGCAGGCGATCGGATGGGAGTCGCGCGCCTTGCTGATGATGTGTGGCACACAGCATCCATAGGCAAGCCTCTGCATGCTGCTCAATCTTATTCAAAAATCCGACGCATCTCTACGGTGAAATCAGCACCAAGCGTCCCGCAAATCACGTGACTTCTGTGCGGGCTCCCCACCCCCCCCCCCCCCTATTTAAACAGACGCTGCTGCGAGGCCTTGATGCAGCCTCTCCCTCCAGATCCTCTCGTGACCCGTAAACTCACGAGTTTTGTTCGATCCTTTTCCGTCATTTCCCTGCCTCGTTCCCCAATCTTCTTCGGCCGCTTCTCTATTCTCTTCCACTTTCTTTTGGGTGGGGGTCTTCTTTTCTCCCCCCCCCTCTCCCATACATCATCATCATCACATCCCTTGACTCTTTACTCCCCTTATGCCCCGGTAAAGTAACAACAACAAACGACAATAACAAAAACAACAACAGCAAACAGTTGATCGCGCAAAATGACGTGGATTTTGTTTGCGTAGCGTCGAAATGCGGACGGTGACGCAAAGCCACGGGGCATGGAGCCAACGTCACGGATGGCCGCGGGAGGCAGAGGGGGAAGTGATTCTAGAGGGGCTTCAGTCACACAGAGAGAGGAGAAGAGATCGCACGATCTTGAGCCAGGGGGCATGGAGCAGAGGTCGCAACCGGGTACCCGATACCCGTACCCTACACGATACCCGGCTACCCGGCCGGGTACGGGTACGGGTACCCGTTTGCAACCCTGGTGCGGCCGGGTATGGGTACGGGTAGACCGTGAGTCACTGGTGAGTCACCGTTTGTCACTCATTTCCCAACGTCTTGTCTCTTCTCACAATTCAAGTTTCCTTAGAATCAACCCACCCGCGCCTGCAACATGGCTTCATCCCAGAGGTCGCAATCAGGTACCCGATACCCGTACCCTACCCGTACCCGGCGGGTACGGGTAGGGTACGGTTACGGTCGGGTACGGATACGGGTACCCGTTTGCGATCCTGGAGCGGCCGGGTACGGGTCAGGAATCAAAACCCGTTTGCGACCTCTGGCATGGAGCCAACAGCACGGCCGACTGCGGGAGGCGACGGGGGGAGCTCCAGATGGGAGGGGAGGAAGCAGAGGAGACGTTTTTGAGCGACATCCAAACCTGACAGTTCGCTCCACGTGCCGGGCGGAGTAGAAACATGCAATTGCCGACAAAGCTGCCCGGCGCGTCGAGCGAAACGTCGGACGCCGTGCCGAGACAATGCGTAGCGGGCACAACGCGAGAAGCACATCGGAGAGAGAGAGGAGGTTACATAAAGCAAAGCATTAAACAAAAAACGAAATGATGAACGAAGCAAAGTGCCGACTACACCGAGCATCTTCTTGTTTCCTCTGATTGTAAAAAATTAACCCGTAAAAAAAAGTTTTTCACTCTAAATCCTTTATATGCGTGGCGGCTAGAGTCCTCTCGTCCTCTGGCTTGAGATGGCTGCCACCTATGGGTCAGATGATTGTCTGCCAGCATTAAGCAATTGGTAATTAAATATTTTAAAATTTTTCCCTAAACAGTGTAACATTTTGGGAAAATTTTTTCACGAAAATCAATTGTCAAGCACAACGAGTCTGTGTGCAAAATGTCAGCTCGATTGGATCACGGCAAGTGGGTTAAAAAACGACCGAAAGATTTCCACGGTCGTAAGCAAGCAAGAAAGCAAGTGAGCTTAATATAAAGGATTTTAAAAAATAGAGAGAGCTGCACTCTACAGCAGCAGCAGCAGCGACATCGGCGGTTGGGTTCACCTGAGTCGGAGACAGCCCACGGGGGCTTGGAGGTTGGGGGGGTGGTAGGAGCGGGTTGTAGGGTGAGGAAGCGATCTCAGCACTGACCCAGCCAGCAGCTACAGCAGCAGCGCAGATGAAAGAGGGGGGGGAGTGTGGTTTGGGGGAAACCCTTGGAAAGTGTCAACCGCGCTCCAAATTTCCGCGGCGCTGATTTGATCCTTGGGGGAAACGCGTGGGCTGAGAGCGCACACACACACGGGGCACACATACATACACGCAGCCACACACACATACATACAAGCAGGCACACACACATACAGGCACACACACACGGGGCACACACACAGACACACGGGGCACACATACACGCAGGCACACACACACACACACGCAGCCACACAAACACACGCAGCCACACACACATACATACAAGCAGGCACACACACATACAGGCACACACACACGGGGCACACACACAGACACACGGGGCACACACATACATACACGCAGATACACACACACGGGGCACACACACACATACACACAGGCACACACACACACACGGGGCACACACATACACGGGGCACACACACACATACACGCAGGCACACACACACACAGGGCACACACACACACACAGGGCACACACACACACACAGGGCACACACACACATACACGCAGGCACACACACACGGGGCACACACACGAGGCACACACACACACACACGGGGCACACACACGAGGCACACACACACACACACACGGGGCACACACACGAGGCACACACACACATACACATACACGCAGGCACACACACACACGGGGCACACACACACATACACGCAGGCACACACACACACGGGGCACACACACGAGGCACACACACACATACACATACACGCAGGCACACACACACGGGGCACACACACACATACACGCAGGCACACACACACACGGGGCACACACACGAGGCACACACACACACATACACGCAGGCACACACACACACACGGGGCACACACACACATACACGCAGGCACACACACACACGGGGCACACACACGAGGCACACACACACACACACATACACGCAGGCACACACACACACACGGGGCACACACACACATACACGCAGGCACACACACACGGGGCACACACACACATACACGCAGGCACACACACACATACACGCAGGCACACACACACACACACACGGGGCACACACACACACGCAGGCACACACACACATACACGCAGGCACACACACACACACACACGGGGCACACACACACATACACGCAGGCACACACACACATACACGCAGGCACACACACACACACACACGGGGCACACACACACATACACGCAGGCACACACACACATACACGCAGGCACACACACACACACGGGGCACACACACACGGGGCACACACACACATACACGCAGGCATACACACACACACGGGGCACACACACACACGAGGCACACACACACACACACGCAGGCACA